ATACCCCCCCCCCCCCCCCCCCCCCCCCCCCCCCCCCCCCCCCCCCCCCCCCCCCACCCCCCCCCCCTCTAGCCCTGATTTCAAAAACAGTCTTTAAGATAAAAAGTTCATCTTTTCATTACTAGTCTGTACTATTACATATATATTTGTATGTGAAGCTACTTAATAGCCATACTCAGTTGAGCCGCCCCACTTACTGCCGCGCTACTATTCATCATCCCAAAGACCTATACCTATTTCCTCGAATAAGGCTTTTTTCATTTACGTTAACTATAATGTTTCAACACAACTTATAAGTATGCAACCTGAATCATTATTTTCGCATCGATTGAGGCTATAAAATGGTACCAATTATAATGTTGTAATTGCTAAAATCGTAAAGTTATTTGAATGTGTAAATGTGTAGATGTGGTAGTTGAAATTGAATTGAATTGAATTGACAATTGAATCCTTTAAAGTTGATTGGTTTATCCTGAAAAGTAAACATACCCTTTTAAAACATATGATATATAATGCTATAAGGTATGTATTTATAAAGAATGATTCATTTTTCCTATATAAAATGCGAAGTACCGTATTAAATCGAGCTAATTGCACTAATCTGTGGGATAATTACCCTTTTAAGCTAAGTCCGCATAACTTTTTTCATTTTGGCACAGTTGTTAGTCTGGTCAACCGTAGTATGGCCAGTTTATTAGAATCTATTAACCTAGGTGATTGACATGTTGGCACTTACGACTCCAGAAGGATTGGAATCCCGGACTAGCCATGATCTCACGTCGTATGGGAGCCTTTCTACTGCAGGTTCTTTTGTTGCCGACTACGCCTGTTAAATATCAGCTTAGCAAATCAAGGGGCTCGCATGTGCCGCCATTGGAGACTCGAATGTGTTCCCCTTGCCACGCATAAGCGGCGAACCTGGTTAATATGCATGAATAGGGCAGATAGGGTAGCATTCAAGCGCGCCTATGCCCATGCCCAACCTTGCCACTTTTGGCAGGAGATCGACGAGCCTAGAAATTTTTCAAACTTGACTAAGCTCGTTTCGACCCGGTCTTTGCGCAATTCGAAAGGGCTGAGCTGTCTATCTCTTACAGGTACAACGTTCCGAAGATTGGAATTGGTCAGAAGCAGGGCTCTCGAGACTTGGGGGCCAATTCTAATTTACAGACTCGGAATACTCCGTTTACAAGTGGCTGAGTGGGCGGCTACTAGTGTATGTCAGCTATCTATGTCAAAATAAGAAAATAAGAAAATCGGAATCCTTGGTCGGCTTCTTAACCCTACGCGGACCCCAAACACGGATACATAGCGGTAATCGACCAAAGCACCGCTCCGTATCTATGTACATTGGCTCCGCCATTAATACTAGATATGGTACGGATTACCTAGCTTAAGTCCGTTGTCCGTTGTCCGGTAGGTAGACGTCCGGGGATTATAACCATAATTGATGAAGAATTTGGAGATGGAGACTGCGTGTTTACATAGTTACATAGTTACATAGTGTACGGAATATGCAGGGGTAAATATCAATAGTCTTTTATTTTTTGCATAGTAGAGTGGAGTTACGAGCTGAAGGATTGGTATTCACCTTGTCTTAACAATTAAGCCCCTCTTCGTTCACTTACGTACTACATAGTATCTTAACTCTAGCCGTGGTGCTGGCCAAAGTATCAAGCAGCTCAAGGCGAACATGTAGGGTTTCGGGATGAATAAATAATATAGGAATTATTCTTGTATAATTCAGTGTTTTATTATAAAACACGTGTTTTAGAAACCCTACGAACATGTCCAAGTCTCCCGCGCCTCACCGCCACTCAACTTCCGCTTCTTAGAATTCCGTTGCACGTTTTCGGTGAACCTAGCCAATAACATATTATAACACGAGGTAGGTAGTCTCATTAATTCCACCGCGAGATAAGACCCAAATACGATTAACCTCTGCTGTAAATTACACTACATATATAAGAGGCACCATTTATGTAAAACATCAGTCTTTTGCATAACTCCGTCGTAAATTCAATTGACTAACTTGAATATATAGACGGATATTGGATGAATGCTATCAGGACCAAGCTGTTTCTGTTAAACTTCTAAACCGTGGGCCATCCGTTCTACTATTTATTTATCAAGGCTTCCTTCTCTCATCTAAGATACTTGCCTCAACCTTGCAACCCCTGCTTAGTAAAAATTTGAGTATATGACACGGATCGTACACCTCCAAGAACGCTGCAACAGCAATTAGTATACCGTGCAGTCCACGAGATTCCCTTGTAGACTACCGTCTCTGAATAAGGCCCCTCTTAGATATGCTTATTAGCGTTCAGACTGTCAATCATAAGTTTCTTATCCCCGAGGCGTCGGCTTGAGCCTGCGTCATAAGGACTATACTATTGGGCTCTGATCATCGTTCGCAGGGTATTCTTATTTTATAAGGGTGATTGAAGTCCAGTTCAGCGGCCGCCTTTCATAGCAGCTCGGCGTCTCATCTTGTCAGCTACTGCCTTCAGCGCTATCTTGACATCTTTCTGTCCGTCCCAAGACTCGACATCGTAATATACGGGGGCGAGTTCCTACAACCATTTAATTAGTTATATTGTCCGCATTTCATTTGAATATGCGATATTAACTTACCAAGAGCCACTCCGGCTTAATCCCGGTGACTGTTCGGATATAATGTTTAGACGTCATGACGAATTCGTTGTAGAGAACCCATTCGTATTCTGTATGGAGCACGGTGCTCGGGTGCAGCATCACTTGCTGGCTATTGTCTTTCAGGGTGCGGTATACCTTATCCTTCTCCCTTTTGGCCACTTGCATGAAGAAGCCGGTGACAAGTGCGCGACGAATATTGATGTAGTAATTTTTATCGGTGAAGTCCGTACTGATGAGTTCCAAGCCTTGCGTTTCCATAATGCGCTTGAGTTGAGCACGGACGTTATCCGCGCTAGAAAGATGACGGAACGACAGATAGTGTTTATGGCACCACGTCCTCGCATCCTCGCCGCGGTTCAGGACACCCTTAAAAGCGTGGTATACGTTTAGCATAGTTAGATGGTCACCGTCGTTGTGCTTGAACAAATTCTTCATTTCATCAGCTTCTCGCCTCTTTTGAGCTGGGCGCACGAAGATCTGAGGCACCGAGAGGAGTGCGGTGATCGAAAGCATTTCGTTCGAACAGTAGAACTCGGGGCTTGAAATGAGCATGACGGCCAAGCTAGGATCTAAAGGAAACTCGGATGCTAAACCGCCAAGAGCTGTCAGTTCTCCCTCGTCGTCGAGGCACCTAAGATAGTTGAGTTCTTCAAGGGCCCGCATCATGGTCTCGGGAGCAGGAGGGTCCATGAGATCGAAATGCACCAGATCCACAACACCAAGCTTCTTGAGCTCGAGAACGGTGTTCGCAAGGTTAGATCGAAGAATTTCGGGATATGTCTGCTCGATCAGCTCCTCTTTGAATGCCTTTTCCGTATAGAGCCGGAAACACTTTCCAGGCTTCGTTCGACCAGCACGACCGGCTCGCTGCTGAGCGGAAGCCTTGGAGATAGGAGATACCAAAAGCGACTCTACTCGTAATCGAGGATTATAGATCTTCTGTTTACTAAAACCAGGGTCGACAACATAGACGATACCGTCGATTGTCAAACTCGTCTCAGCAATATTCGTCGATACGATGCACTTGCGACCTGGTCTACCGCCTTTCTTGAGCGGAGGGGGTGCTGGGTCGAAGATTTTCTGCTGCTGGTGTGGAGGAAGGGTACCATAAAGGGGGTAGACCGACATCGGTCCGCAATCAGTTTCCCTCACAAGCTCGTCGACCTCCAGGGAGATCTTCCTGCATGTATCCTCGATCTCTTCCTCGCCAGTAAGAAAGAGGAGAATGTCCCCTTCTCCCTCGCCAGCATGAATTTGAAGTACAGTACGTATCGCACCCTCTACGTAATCCTTCTCGGGCTCGGGCGTGTAGAAAATCTCGACGGGGAATGTTCGACCTGGGACGGCGAGCAAGGGCGCATCGAAGAAATACCGCTGGAACTTCTGCGCATCTAGCGTGGCAGACATGACGATAAGCTTGAGGTCGGATCTGCGCCTGGTGATTTGCTTCAGAAGTGCCATAAGTATGTCGGTAGCGAGGGTACGCTCGTGGGCTTCGTCCAAAATAATACAGCTATATCGCGACATGTCGTGGTCGTGCATCGCCTCCCTCAACAGCATACCATCGGTCATGTATTTGAGTATCGTCTTGGAACTCGTCTTGTCTTCGAAACGGATACTATAACCGACCTCTTCTCCTAGGGTAACGTCAAGCTCGTCGGCAACACGCTGGGCAACGGACATGGCGGCGACTCGTCGGGGTTGCGTACAGGCAACCAGCTTTCGACCAAGATGTGGTAGTTCGTCATAGACGACATATTGGGGGATTTGTGTCGTTTTACCAGAACCGGTTTCACCGACGAACACCAGGATTTGCGATTTATGATATAGATCGAGAAATTCTTGTCTACGGCAAGCGCATTAGTATAGGGTAAGAATCTAAGGCATCAGAACAAACAAATGAGAGCAAGCTTACCTTTGCTTATGGACGGGGAGGTTGCGCCTCGACTTCAATATGTTAAAATACTGTTGTGAGTGCGGCTCTCCGGTAAAAGGGTTATTGTCGCCATCCTCAGCTTCG